GATACTGGTATCGGGTATCGGGGCCGATACTGTAAAATGTGTGTAAAATGAAGAAAAAAAAAGTATTATTTACAAAGTACACAAGCATTCTAAAGTTCAGCTCAAGCAACAAAGATAACAATATGTCTGTGAGGCATGAATAAGTTTACCATACTCTATAAACATTTAGTTTCCTTATAGTGTTCAGCAATGTAGATAATGTAGTTGAGTTTCAACCACATACAGATTTATCTTTATATAGGAGATTTGACAATGACCTGTGTATGTGCACCATGAGACTAAAGAGAAACATACCAGTCAAAACTGGAATTTGCTACCAGGTTCTAGCAAATTCCAGAGCCAGAGCCGTAGTGCATAGAGATATTATTCCGCGTGGGAGGATTTATGAGTACATTCTTGCAAACATAATTGCTTTGACTTGAAATAATTACGTTTATGAGTAATTTTTTTTAAAATCATTATTGTAGAACTAAGTTATAAATATTGGAGTTCTAAATATTGAAGCAGTGACTTTTGGGAGGGTGGGAACTACTTATTAAAACGGATGGAGATTTCTGGATGACGTGTGCACCTCCATACTATATAACACTGCTAGACAATCCTCCCGACTTACCTGGAGCCGTTTTAACCACAATTAACAATAGTAAGTGTTTTTCTGTTTATATCTTTTGATATTCTGGAAATGATTGTTTTTACAAATGTGTTGCATTAGTATCACTGTGTTGAACATTATTAGGGTTTAACTAACAAGTGGTAATCAAGGTCTACAAAATAGTCTTTAATAGTTTAATTGTTCCCTTATATAAGGTTTTTATGTATTTCATCGTCATTTTGTCGTCGATTTTCTTTTTTACTACTCTTTTGTTATGAAGCAGCGTTTAGGTAACGTTCACTTACAGCAGTGACTCAGCAGTCCAATAACTAGTATTACCGGCTGCTGAACTGAAGGAAGGGCACAGAGATCTCAAAATAGCGCTTGGGCTAAAATGGCTCCTGTGGTTCTCATTCTTATTATTTAATACCTTTATAAAGCTTTTTACTCCCTATTTGAGCTTAAACTTAAAGCAATGTATTTTTAATGCATTTATTTTATTTATTTGTAAAGAGGCTTTTAATCAGTAATTTATTCATATCCATCTTGTCCTGTGTTTCAGCCATGCAGATCTTTGTGAAGACCCTCACTGGCAAGACCATCACCCTGGAGGTTGAGCCCAGTGACACCATTGAGAACGTCAAGGCCAAAATCCAGGATAAGGAAGGCATTCCACCTGACCAGCAGAGGCTGATCTTTGCTGGCAAGCAGCTGGAAGATGGCCGCACCCTCTCTGACTACAACATCCAGAAGGAGTCCACCCTCCATCTTGTCCTGCGTCTCAGGGGTGGCATGCAGATCTTGGTGAAGACCCTCACTGGCAAGACCATCACCCTGGAGGTTGAGCCCAGCGACACCATTGAGAACATCAAGGCTAAAATCCAGGATAAGGAAGGCATTCCACCTGACCAGCAGAGGCTGATCTTTGATGGCAAGCAGCTGAAAGATGGCCGCACCCTCTCTGACTACAACATCCAGAATGAGTCCACCCTCACTGGCAACCTGGAGGTTCCGCCATTTTATACCATTAAGAACGTCAAGGCTAAAATCCAGTATAAGGAACGCATTCCCTCTGACCAGCAGAGGCTGACATTTCCTGGCCGCACCCTCGCTGACTACAACATCCAGGATAGGTCCACCATCCACCTTGTCGTGCGTGACACGGGTGGGCAATAAAGCAATTAGAGTAATGTTGCTTCCTCAAAATAAAGACCTGATGGTATTATTGCCTTGTTACAAAATTGTTGCCCATGTCAAACCTTTGTGCCAAACAAAATTTTGCATATCAATAAAGGACTGAAGTCCACTTAAGTGTCGCTGCTTTTTGTATAATGACTACTACATGATAGACAGCAAGAGGGTAAGGGAGATTGACTTTTTAGAGATGGTTTTTGCTGAAAAAAAGGCCTGCAAAAATTTGAATAAAACTTAAAACTATACATGAATCAGGGTTCAAGGCAGACATAATAAAACCATGACATAAATTCTAACCAATGCATTACGAAAAAAAAAACCCAAAACAAAACATACTTTAAAATTAAAATAAATAAATAAAATAAATTGTCAGCCAAAGCAATGACTTCTGCTGGTTCTGTGCATTTATATTTCTTTTTATTTAATCATGTTCCGGAAAAGAGAGACCCCTGCACAGCCCCAATGCCAGTTGCAGGATCTCTAATATTAGAATCATAAACTGTGTCTCATATAGGTATTATTTTGGTACTTTACACGTCACAGTTTCAATACAAACATTGCTTATATGCCAAAGTTCCTCTTTTCTGTCTGGCTTCCTGTATTTATTAATATGCTGTACAGCTCTACACTTCCTGTTTTCAGTCTGGGTGAGCACTTAGTTTATGAGTCAAAAGTGGCCTTGCTTTACAAACCTTCATTATTAAAGTACATAAAACAATATAATGAGAAAATAAAGATACTAAGGATATTAATTACATGACAGTTCTCCCCCTTCTCGTGTTTTGTAAGAAACACGACATAATTCCTAATTTATCCCATTAAGTTTACTTCAATTCAATCCAATTCAATTTTCTTTATATAGCGCCAAATCACAACAAAAGTCGCCTCAAGGCGCTTGAAACTGGCAAATTACAGCATGATATTCCTATCCTCGGTCAGAAGGCACAGGTGACTTATATGATGAAAGAGAGGGTCCACAGCAATGATAATTTGGGTTCCTTTAATCCAAAACATCTTCAGAAGTGAATTTGTGTGAGTATATGTATATGTGGTTCTGTAAAATAACAGAAATTACAATTAGCACACAATTAAAGTCAACCAAACTGTAGATAACAGCAATGTTATGTTTATCCATACTGCCTCCTGTTGCTGCTGTTACGGAGAGTTCCAGCAGGTGTCGCTGTGGTTCTCTCTGGGAGTTATGTGTACTTCCTGTTACGAGTGTACAGACGTTCATGTTGGCTGCTAATAAACGCCTGGCATACAGTTACAGCGGACTGATTATTATAAGCAAACCTACATGGTGTCAGAAGTGGGATATATTAGAAAGCCTGCACAGTCCAAGAAGAAAAGGGGAGCCGGTAAGGACGACGAAAAAAGCAATCACCGCACAACATGGTGGACGGATTTCGGCGCCCAGATCCTCTCATCTTTGACGGCAATGTCGCTGAAAGCTGGCGTAAGTTCGAGCGCGAATATGACATCTTTATCGCCGCTGCCCACAGTGACAAAAATGCTAAGACTAAGGCCTATATACTCCTCAATCTGGCGGGACCAGAGGCCATTGAAAGAGAGCGATCATTCACGTATGCCCCCGCAGTCATATCAGCTGAAGGCATAGTAGAAGTTGCCGCGGAATCGAGGGAAGACCCCGCATGTCTAAAGAGAAAGTTCAGGGAGATCTGCAACCCAGAGACTAATGTCATAATGGAGAGGCATAACTTTAACAAAAGACAACAGAAACCCGGTGAAACCATTGAAGCATATGTGAGCACGTTAAAGAACATGGCCAGAACCTGCAGCTTTGGTGCACTACAAGACGAGTTAATCAGAGACAGATTAGTATGTGGTATAACCAGTGACAGCGTCAGACGTTCCCTTCTTAAAGAGACGGAACTCACTCTTGCCAAGGC